AGATTGGCTCATGGGCAACGAGTTCAATGTTCCTTATGCATATAATGCCTTCGGATCGCGATGACGTGTCTTCGTATTTTCATCTTTCATCTGATGCCATGAGGCCTTTCGTTTATTGTTCCTGAAAGCATACAATCCTGAAAGTCAGGGGTGTCAAACTCATTTTTGTTCGCGGGCCACATTGTAGTTACGGTTTGCCTTGGAGGGCCGTTATGAATTTTGGGAAACCATATAAATGTTTAATCATCTCCACATCTTACATGCACAGCACACAACAAATCGATGAATAACTAGTTTTAAAATCAGAAGTCAAGAATAATGACCGTTATTGTGGAGTACATATGACAATTTGGTTCAGAATTGAGCAGGCATCATCGAACTTGACATGCTCGATTTGCTTTCGCGGGCCACATAAAATGATGTGGTGGGCCAGATCTGGCCCCTGGGCCTTGACTTTGACACATGTGCTGAAAGTCAAGAAAACTTCACAAGTCATGGAATTTGACAAATAAGCCACAACATGCAAGACACGGACGGCCACATTGTTTTGTTCATTTGGCTGTTATCAGTCTTGGAACGTCTCCCCACCCAGCCTTGCTTCCACTTGTTTTGCGCTATTCTACCTTGGGCACTCAAAATGCTTGAGCAGTTTCCTCATTCACCTCCTGATTGTCACGGTTGATTTGTTTGGGACAAACAGGTGTGCCGCTGTAGGGCTCCTCCTATAGCGGCACACCTGTTGGTCATCATGTTAGTAGGTTTTCTGTTCAAAGGACTCCCGGCCCGACCACTCGGTGTCGGGTCATTGTTTCTGTCCATGTTGCTGTCACTGCTTCTGTTGGTTTGTCTTTATCATGTCATATTTTTTTGCTTATGCCGTGGTTTTTGTTGTTACTTTGAATTCCTGTTGTTTGTAGGACTTTGCTTGTTTTGAATTTGGTTTTCTATAATAATAATAATAATAATAATAATAATAATAATAATAATACATTACATTTATAAGCGCCTT